ATCCTCTTGAACACGTACAATGAGGGCAAACGTTGCGCTTTGGTCGATGAGAGGAAGATACGCACTATTGTAGTTGTACATAAAATCGGATTGATTGTTCCAATAGGATATAACTGGTATATCCGATAAACGTTCCATTTTAATTTTGGGTGCCTTGTAGAAAAAGCCTTGTACGAAAGATGGCAGTACTATTAACAACAACAACGTCTTCATCTCTTGGAAGAAAAAATGATATAGCGTATACATCAATTGAAGATGTCGATTTGAATATGAAACGAACAGATAGTAATTAAATTCTTCTACGATAGATTATAGCTGTTTGATGTACTATCCGTTTATTGAAAGTGCTTACATTACATTGAAGTTGTTTTTCGTTAAATGTTGAAGTATCATTGTTGTTAATGTTATTTTTCAAAAAAATATATTTTACATAAATTAAAAATGTGATATTTTACCCGGATTATTAAGCGATGAAATAAATTTAATATTATTAAACTTTATTTTATCAGTAAAAAGAATCTTTGGATTTAAACAAAATTAGCTGAGTATTTGAGAGATTTTTTTAAATCTTTCAATAATTGAAAATAAAACAAATTTTATTATGAGCTAAATAAATAACTGGAATATTAAATATACAGGAATATATATATTTTTTTTGAAAAGAAATAACTTTATCAATAATACCCTTATCTCTTTTTGCATCTATTAATTATCACGTGTTTTTAACGAACATTTTGAAACTTTTAGAGGAACATTTTTAGAATAATTCGATGATAATGTTGATGATTGATTTAATTCATTTAATATACGATCTAAAATTTGTTCAAATTTTGTATCACAAATATTTTTTGATGTTAATTGTTGACCAACATGATGTAATTTTAAAAGATAATCGGAGTGAAAAAAATTGGTATAATCCATGAAACGTTTATAATCTGTTTGTAATAACTAAAATAATAAAAAAAACAAAAACAAATTGAATTGAATAAAGAATTATCATTTCAATAATTCCTATCTTACTCTATAATCACTTTCTAAGCGAACACGATCATTAAATGCTCGATGAAATTTTTCTTCCGTTAATTTATTTCTAAATGATAGAAAAAAAACATATATTCAAGAGTTTACTTCATTGATATGATGTAGTATTAAGTGTTAACTCTAATATTCTAAAAAATAAACCATTTTACTTAAAAATGAGGAATATTTTCAAAATTTCTCATCTACCATGTATTTTTAAGAGTACTTTATCAAATTTTTATTCCTATTAACTACTTTATCCGTAAAAGTAGTAGCGAGAGTAGTCTAAAATTTTCAACATTTTCTTCATGTTCATATATTCTTATCTAAGAACTTATTGTATTTAAATTTAATCCTCTTAAACCATATCCTTTTCTTTTGTCTTTTTACATGTTTTTTGCCTTGAAAATATGTTTAAACGTCACAATCTGATTTCTAACATTATGATCTTCCAATATATAGAATAAATTAAACTTCATAAAATAATTATTAAGCTACAGTATGCAAGTGTTGTTAGATAATACTAACTTGAAAACAATGGTATGTAACTGCAATTTAACTTACATAATACCTGAATCACTTGTAAAACGTCATACAAATATTTAAACAAGTAAAAGTATCTGTCAAATGAGAAATCGAGTATGTGGAAATGTACCAATTATTTTTAATCAAATTTTTTCGCTAAATTAGCAATCATCACATTTGATGTTTGATTATGACCAACGATTTTTTTCTACAAAACTAGACATCAAGTCTTTTTTTTTGACAAAAATATCGAAATTGATTCGTTTTGTGAGTGGTACTTTTTTTTCCAAATAAACTCTTTATAAAAAAATATTCTTCTATTCATCTTAAATATTTTCATTTAAAAATGATCTTACTTCGTTTTCCACTCATCTACGTGGCTTTGATGCATTTCATTTATTTCTTGTATTTGAAGTTGATGTTTTTCTTCCATTTCTTGTTTCAATGTTTGCAGTTTAATACGCTCTTGTTGAACGTACTCAGCCTAAAATGTCATAGCCATTCTTACTAATGTAAAGCACTATGTATACAATAATTATGATACCTCCATTTTGGCAATTGTTTCATCAATGACTTTTTGTTTTTCTTGATTAAACTGTAATTCCATTAGTTTTTTCGTACGTTGTTCAGCATTTTCAACAGCCTTTTTTAATTAAGATTTAAATTTAAACAAGGAATGAGAACTTAATTAATTTAAATCATTTTGCAGTAACAGAACCATTTATATTTTCTTCTAGGTAACCAACGGACGAGAAATATACTCGATTACACAGCGGAAGAATTCGCAATCATTTTATCAATTTTTTCTTAAATTTTCGACTATTTTTTGGTGCATCTAAGAAAATTGTTATAACTCAGTTTCTGTTAAGTAAGAATATCAAGTTTTGTTGACTCAAAAACGCATAATAATTGTCTTACATAAAAAATTCGTTCCACTGAATGACTTTGAATAACTTTTTTTCATTTGGTATCCTCTCGTTTCGTCCCGTATTTGTTAATTAGCTCTCGTTTCGTCCCGTCTCATTTCGTCCCACACTTGTTTCGTCCCCTCTCGTTTCGTCCCACACTCGTTTCGTCCCATTTACAAAGTTTTCATTT